CACTTGCCTCTATTCTTCCATATTAAGTCTTAAACTGGTAAAATATAAGTCATTGCAGATCCATGAGCTAACAGGAGGTTATATGGCTGTGCTGCTGTAGTAGCAGGCTGCTTTTATTTTGTAGAGTTAGGAAAGGGTGTGAGGAGAGAAGCAGCAGGAGCTGCCTCTGGTGTTTGCTCCATAGCTGTTCTTAACTTCCCTTTCTGCCCTCACACACTGCAGACAGCCTATTTTAAGGTGCACAGATGTTTCTACTACTCTAGTCCTTGGTAGTTGCTTAAGTGGCTTCTTAGAGCAGCTGTTCCCTTGTTTATGTCTCTGACGTTCATTTCATTGCAGTTCTTGTTTTTTTTTGGTGGTGGGAAGATGAAAAAACCCCATGTGCTGATGCTCTGATGTTGTTTAGCTTTTATCAATTGTGTCATCAGTGGCGTCCTACCCTTCTGCAGGGGAGACATTTCCATCGTAGCTGGAGCCCAGAGTTGTCCTTCTCTGTCCCAGTTTTGCTGTCAGCAGGGTGATTTCACCAAATGTGATGATGAGAGTGAGAAGATTTGCAGTAGGATTCAACTAAGAGTTTAATGAAATTTGCCTGTGGTCTCTCCTCTTTCATCCTAGCAGTCAAGTGCTTGCACCGCATGGTTTGATGTGCATGTCCCTCATAGCCTATTCAGGCTTCCTGCTTTGCTCCTTGCCATTAAATTGATTTTCAGACTTGCTCAGTAGTGTGCCAGTTCTCTGATCTTTGCCATTGCTGCTGCCTTGCTTCAGAGGTGCAAATTAGAAGCTGGTGGCATGAAAGAGGGAGGTGGAGCAGTGTATTGTTTCTGTCCAGAAGAACAGAGAGCTGTGGGAAGAGCAGGATTTACCAGTTACTGGGACAGCAAGGGGGAGAGCTGTTCTGGGAGTTTTCTTTCACTTGAAAAAAATGCCTTTTTCCCAGGTTGTGAAATTCAGGAAGTGATGTACATGCTAAGACTAGCAATTGTAATTTGTTTTATAACAGGTGAAAATGTTCTGGATATATATTGTGACAAGTCACGAAGTGCAGAAAATTAATTGACCTATTAGATTTTGGCTAAGTTGTTTACATTTATTCTTTACTAGCTAAATGGAATTATATGTTTATACATTGTGCTAGCAAAAAAACCAAAAGGCAGATAAAAGCTTACAAATAGGAAACTTTATAATACACAAAACTTCCTAAGAAGAAGCAAATTAAGCAGCTCTGGGTCTGTCTGTACTGTTCTAGAAGGTTGTGTAGATACTTGATGAGTACATCTCGCTTCAGAATCTTTGGTATCAGATTGCAAGACTACAAAGAACAATTTTATCAAAACTAGCTTTGTAAACAATTCTTTAAGATACCTGTTCAGTTTGGTATTTGCTTGTATATTGTACTTTACAGTTCAGTGCTTTTCTTTTAACTGCATGTTCTCTACCCATCAGTAGGCATAATTACCACTAATCAAGACCCCTAATCTCAAGCAATTATAAGCTCTTACATTGTTCTAATTGCACATTTGAAAATAATGTCATTTTCTCATGTAATTATGAGATGATCCATACAATTAAATTCTGCTTTTCTTTTTATCTGATCAGTGTTAATTTTGTGTGACCTCACAATGTGTTATCTGAAAAATGCCTTTGAGACTTGCAGTTTTTCTGGTTAATTTATGGTTGTGTTTCATATTCAGTAAGGAGGGATACAGTGCAAGAAATTTTCAAGGCTGTGCTTTCAACCTTCTATGACCTGAAAAATTTGTTGTATATTAGGAACTTGTTGGTGAAACAGAAGTGCAATTATCCGTTTAAATCATCTACTCTTTGCAAATGCAGGTGCTTGCTCTTTGGATAGTACTTAGGTTAGTGCAGTATGTAAAAAGGGTTTATTTTGATTTTTTAATTGTTAAACTGGAATTTACATGCATACAGACTTTTTTGACCAGCTTTCCAGGCAGCAAAAGTGAGGGCAGTTCGTTTTCAGAAAGCACTGCAAGTCCTGGGGGCAGGATAGAAGAGATTGTTCACGAGTTGATGTTCGTCTCACTTGTTGCTGCGTAGTTCTGCACACCTTTTGTGTGCCAGGCCATTGCATGAGTGTGTTTTGAACAAATCATCGTCAATCTGTTGATTCATCTCAGGAACCAAATGCAGCACTTACATCTGTAAATGGGGTAATTGTAAGCCTCTCATTCTTACAGACAGAAATTATTCCTGTTATAATTCTAAAATCAGACCCCAGATCTTTTACTGTGGACCTACACTGGTTTGTATTTATTTCTCTATTCTTACTTGTTACATCACTAAAAATAGCAGATGATTTGGTGACCTTAGCAACCTGTGTCTGACCTTCATGATTCACTTGCGGGTAATTTGCTGCTGCAATTACTATGGTCCTGTCTGTGATGTTATTTAAACACTGGTTTAAATGACTGCAGTGTAAATGAGCAGCCACATTATTGGAGACAACATGTTTTTCTTTATTGTAAGAAAATAATATTTGCGTCAGGGGGTGAGTGCCTCATCATTTCTGAGGGATCTTGACATTCCTGGAGAAGAAATGCTGGAGATTTTGCTCTGTCATTAATAGCCCAACTTTCTTCCTTTAGTAGAGTGTGTGTTTCTGAAATCATTCTGGGGCTGCAGTCTACTGCAGTGGGTTCATTTCATTATTCCTTTGAAAGTAAGGAGAGGCACACAGCCAGCTTCTTCTGTGCAGAAGAGTTCAAGGTTTAATATGCTAATGTATCTACCCAATATTAGGCTGCAAAAATCCTTGGCTTTGATGTGTCTTTAATAGCAATAAAATGGTTGGCTAATGATAAATTAAGGATGTAAGTTTGGGAATTAAAAAAATTAATCTAGGCAGGAATAATTTTCCTTGCCAAGATAATTGTCATACCGGAACTGCAGTTTACAGTGGAAATTCCTTTCTTTATAATAATCAAAATATACAATCAAACTTCTGGCTTTTCTTTAGGCTTCACATTAAAGCTGGCCATTAATGGGACAGGGTGGGGACTGCATTTTATCTTTGCTGGCCTGGAGCTGTATGTGCCAAGGTACTGAACCCCCAGGTCTCACTGTTTGCCAGAGAGCAAAGATAAAAATCTGCTTGCCATCCTCTCTGTAATTTGTCACCTGTTTCAGTGCTGGGCTGGCTGCCTTGTGCTGCTGCAGTCTCCTGTAGGGTCATGTTTGCATCTGCATAACAGAGAGCAAACCAGGACTTATTCAGGGATAGGTAATGCTGTTCTAATACAAAAATACTCATGGATAAAGGAGCTGTTATGGTAAATCAGTTTTGTAAAGCATTTTAACATTCTTCACTACTCACTGGACTGCCCGGTATAGTTTTGTTCAAGCCCAAGTTTAGGTTAAACATGGAAAATATATGTTTCTGGTCACTGTAATAATGCTCTCCCCACTGAGAGAGCACATTTTTCTGCATATTTTTATAGCTGTTTGTACAGAGGAATAGATGGAAAAAGGGAGAGCTATTCTCTACAGAAACTCATAAAAAGGAAAGTGATGCAGCATCAAGAAGGAATTCTACAGAAAATCAGCAGTGTAAAGGCCTTGAGCAAACCTTAACTTAAATCACATCTCTTGATGATCAGGGCAAAGACAGTCCCATAAGTTTCTTTTGCACAATATCAAAGGTTTTTGTTGGTCATAGAACCCTACAGCATCTTAATTGGCTTAAGGATATCTGCCTATAACACTCCCCTGAATAAGTAGCTGCATTCTCAAGGGAAGAAGTGGGGTGATTTTTTTTAATAGCTGGTGAGGGAGTAAATAAACAGTAAAAAGGGGTACTTCAGTAAAGAAAAATATCTTTTTTTAAAAATATGTCTTCTCATTGACTTATTTTTATTTCAAGTGTAAGAGATATGATGCTCACAATTTAGTGCTTGTTTTGGGGGGCAGGAAATGATTAAGAGGAAGAAGTTACTCAGCAAGCCAGAGCACTTACGGGTGGTTATCATCACATCTGCAGTCTGACTGTTCCTCTCCCTCTACAGCCAACCTGTCACACATCACTGATCTGATTCATGATGTAGGGAAGCTCCGCTTGAGGCTTCCTGTCTCTCCATTGCATCCAGGGCTGGACTGGCTGTAAGAGCCTCAGCCCCAGCCTCTGCAAGCCATCAAAGCTGGCTGCTGGGGCTGCCACCAGCCTGCTGTTCTGTCTTGGCCTTCAGCAGATGGAGCTTCTCAAGTCCTGTGTGTTTTCATCTGCTTCTCTCCACGCTTGGGAACACTGCCTTTTTTTCTGCCTGGTGTTTATTCTTAAACCCATCTTGATGAACCAGCTGGCTTCACAACTGTGTTGTGTGAAATCAGGAGGGCTGTGCAAAGGTCTGCCTCTCAGGGCTCCAGCTCTTGCCTCAGGCCTTGCTGTTCTTTTGCCTGAAGAATGTAAAATGTAATGCGAGTTTTTATGTATTATTAAACTTATGTCTATAAATTACTGACCCATGGTAGCTGTTTATTACATATTCCATCTTCTGCTTTGATGCACTGCTGCTGTCACTCCGAGGTGGGTAACGATGGCTCAGCTTACTGCTGTGATAATGCACTTAAAGCCTGGAAATCTGTCACTGATGGTATTTCAACACAGGTGCTATAAACCTGAGATGAAAAATTAAAGTATTTGCTGTCAAGCTATTTCTCTTAAAGTTCTTCTGTCTACTGTTGTGGTTTTGTAAGGTTTTGGGTACTGCTGAGTTGTTTGATGAACAAAGTCAAACAGTCGTATATAAGGAGGTCTGTGATGCAGGACATGCTCTCACAGAAGCAGGTGGTGGTCCTCAGTTTGCAGTGCTGAAGGTGACCTATAAAATGCTTGTGTTCATCAGGCCTTCCTAATAAAGCACCAATATTTCCATGCATTTTTACGACCCAGCCTTTCCAGCCTTAAAGCCCAGTGGAACACAGCCTGATCACCACATCTTACCATGTATTTTCTCTGTGGTTTTTCTTCTTTTTCACAGCCCTTCTGTATGCCACCATTTTTGGTAATGTGACAACCATATTTCAGCAGATGTACGCTAACACAAACAGATACCATGAAATGCTGAACAGCGTCCGGGACTTTTTGAAGCTCTACCAGGTCCCCAAAGGACTGAGTGAACGTGTGATGGATTACATCGTTTCCACCTGGTCAATGTCCAGGGGAATAGATACTGAAAAGGTAAGTAAATTAAACTGCAAGGAAAGAAGTCACATCCTGAAAGTAGTCCATTAAAATAAACAGGAGGTACTGTCTTAGTAAAGGAGACAAATATTCTTTAAATAGTTCTAAGCAGCAGCTTCCCTTAATTTTTAACTTTTAAATGCAGTATTTCAGCTATTCTGTCATACTGACATATGATAGTGGTAAAAGTATGTATGTTTTGCTAGTGAAATAGTATAAAAATGATAAAGAGAAAAAGCTCAGTTTACTATAAATAAAGGTGATAAGTAAATAGCAAGTTCCAGACTGTAACACAACCTCACAGTTTTTCCAAATGAGATTTTTTTTGCAATATTTCTTGTGAGGTTGCTTGCAGCTCTGTGGGCCTGAAAACAAGGTAATTTTTTTTTGTCGTTGGAGAGTTTGAATGTAATATTCTGTGTGCAGGTTAAAGATATTAATGAAAGCTGGAAGTATTTAATAACGTATTGCTTGAAATCTACCTTGTGTAAGGCAAGTGTTATCATTCTGATTCATTGAATTGATGAATAAATTCCCATTGTGTCTTTTAAAATAACAGATGGCCTTTCACCAGAACAAATGTACAAATGTAGCTCCTTGTCGCTTTCATATTAGTTGCCAATTTTTGTGGGGATAGACAGTTTTTCTTCTGCTTGTAAAGAGATGTGATTTGTGGGGTGGATCATTCAGGAAATCATACCAATGCTCTGGTCACCAGCCTTCTGGTTGGCAGCTTAATTTAGCATTCTGAACTGTGGATGATGCAGTTAAAGAGCAAACAGTGTCATTTCTGTACAGCTGTTACAGCATCGTTATGAAGCAGGAGAACAGATGTGGCCTTGCACTGAGCTGCCTGGAGACTGAGGGGCACACAGGGCACTGTTTGCTTTCCTAAATGGTCTTCAGCCAATCTGCCATTTTTAGATCCCAGACATGATTCTGTAAGCACTGTCTGCCATACTAGCTTTCAGAAAGAAATTATATTTTAGTGCTGGATAGCACTGGTTAGAAGCTGTTCTGCATGTTTTCTCACAATCTGTCTTTGTGTGGGGTTGTGATTCGAGGTAGGTGCATTTGGAGAAGGTGGAGAGACATCTGAGGAAACATAGTGTAATGAGTGCTGGTGCTTTCATTCAGCCCCCATTACAAACTCCTGTCATCATTTTAACAAAACAACAAGAAAAATTTGCTATGTAAAACATGTTGTTGTTTTTTTTTTAGCGTATCTTCAAAGTTCATTCTTGGCTTCCTTTGATAAGGAGAGAAATGCTTTAAGAGGATGCATTTGGAGACAGCAGACTAACCAAACCAAGCACAACAATACTCAGTGTAGCCTTTGAGAATTATCTTAATAAGAAGGAAAGAAGTCTCCAATTGTCAGGACACCGAAGTGCTTAATACAGTGCTGTTTTCAGTAACTGATGTGTTCATAGCTGAGCTGCTGCTGGCCATGACTGCTAAACCAAGAACTCAGCTTTCATCTGCACAGCAAAAGCTGTGGTGGGCTGTGCCAATCCATAAACTCCCAGGTCTGAGCTCTGTTGTTTTGAAGCCTGTGCATAACTTCTGGGATGTTTTGTCATGAATAAAACATGTATTGCTCATGAGGCAGAACACTGGTACTTGTGCTCCTCTGAAAGGCAATGCAGCTTCCTACAGATGAGGCAGAGACTTAAATATGAACTGAGCACAGAACTGGTCCTGTCACTATTTTGTAGGCCACGAATTTGTCAGTTCAGTGTTCACTGCAGACACGCTAAGTTATTGGTCTAGAAAATGCCAGTACAACAAAATTTAACCGAGAGCTACTGAAAGATTCTAAAATTGATCCATGAAGATACATTTCCTACCTCCCTTACAAATGAAAGTCTTCTTCCATTTATCTGTAGATCTCAAATGTCTTTAATTGCTTTCATTTCTGTGAAGTCTGGAGACAACTTCTTTAAATGGAGAATGGAAAACTGGTTAACTTCCTCTAAGACTGCTATACCAAAAAGTTTTTGGATAATAGCATTATTTCAAATATTCTCTTGTATACTTGGGGAGGTTTGCTGCTATTTCTATTGCAACAACCCTTTTTGTGTGCGATATCCAGGTAACTGGAAAGTGTGTGTGTAATTCCGGTAGTAAAATTTGGCAAGAATATGCCACTAGAGAGTATTTTTATCACCAGAGTAAATGAGATAATGGAAAAGACAGATAGGGCCGCTGCCTGTGTTCCCTGTTAAATGCTGGCCTTGCTGCCCCAGCCAATTTCTGTGAGCCTGGAAAACTGGGAACTGGCAGGTTTGGCAGCTCTTCTGTATAGGGCAGCCAAGAAAAATCATCCCCGAGTGCCCTACACCTAAGCAGTATACAAATACATCTCTTTTAAGAAGTTATATCTGTAATAAAATGTCTGTTTGGAGGTGGGCCAAAGATGTTGATATTGGTGGTGGAGTTACTTGCTTTTGGAGTACCAGGCATGATATCTGAAACCAGTGCCATGCACAGAATTAATAGCTTGATTCTCTGCTCAGATCTTGCACAGAACCCCATTTCAAAGTGTAGGCATAGCCATAGTGCTTCCTGTGTTACTTTTGTGTTTTTCAGGAGTGTTTGCAGTGAGACAGTCTTCTCTTTCCACCTAGGAAAATGTGTGGGAGTAACTCTGAAGCTTGACTGGGAGTGCTCCTTAATTGGATGGAGTAGTTATTACTAAGAAAATAATAATAAAAAAAGAGGCAGACTCAGACTACTCGATGTTCTTCTCAAATAATATGCCCTAGACGTGCTTCATCATAGACCATCCCCCAAGGATTCTGTTATCCCCAAACCCTGCTCATGTCACTTCTTTCCACTTTTAATCTGCACAAGCAGCAGTGATTTGGTATTCTTTCCACTTGGCTGTTTGTATTATATTAAAACCCTTCAGAAATGGCCCTGGCTGGTACCCGCTGTGCTGAGCATCAGCTCCATCAGCTCGTGTTCTCCTAGGACCACACATCATGAGTTGCCGTGAGGAACATTCCATTTGGAAGATGAAAAGCTGCCCAAAACAGCATCATACCTTAAAGTCCCTTTCCTGTGTAAACAAAAAACTTGTTAGTGCCACTCGGGGGTAAATTTGGATACCTGCAATTCTCAATGTTATGAGTTAATTAAACTTTAAGTAATTTGTTTTTGTTATTAAAGCATATGACTTGTGCAGGCTTTTCATGGAATCTGCCTATCAAAAAAATGACCTACCCTCTAGAAACAATTATTCTGGAAGATTTTCTTCAACACTTTATATACTGCTGGGCTCTAAGTTTTTTTGTCTTAAAAACCTTAGGTCTTCAATATCCAGCAGAGTATGTTGTTGAGAGGGAAACTGTGTTTTCCTTCAGATGTTGTAAGGTAGACTAAGTTAGTATTGTTGCTTATGTGGATAAATAATATAAAAATAAACTCTGAGATTAGAAATAAGAAGGAGGAAAGTGGTTCTTAAACCTTGCGTGGGAACCTAGCCATAGCAGGCAGGTAGAAGCCATGCACAGGAGCTGATTGCCCCCCTGGTTTCCCTCTCAGGTTTTGCAGATCTGCCCTAAGGACATGAGAGCAGATATCTGCGTTCACCTGAACCGCAAGGTTTTCAAGGAGCACCCTGCCTTCAGGCTGGCCAGCGACGGGTGCCTGCGGGCGCTGGCCATGGAATTCCAGACGGTGCACTGCGCTCCGGGAGACCTCATCTACCACGCCGGGGAGAGCGTCGACAGCCTCTGCTTCGTGGTCTCGGGCTCCTTGGAAGTGATCCAGGATGATGAAGTCGTTGCTATATTAGGTGAGTTTCAGAGCTGGTAATGTGCATTTGCATAAATACAAATATGTGTGTGGTGGTGTTCGCAGGGGTCCCCGGATGAGGGAAGAGATGAGACTCCATGTTTCAGAAGGCTGATTTATTATTTTAGGATATATATTACATTAAAATGATACATTAAAACTATACTAAAAGAATAGAAGAAAGGATTTCATCACAAGACTAGCAAGCAAAGGAATGGAATGGAATGATAATAAAATCTTGTGACCAGAGAGTCTGAGACAGCCGGACTGTGATTGGCCATTAATTAAAAACAACCACATGAGATCAATCACAGATCCACCTGTTGCATTCCACAGCAGCAGATAATCATTGTTTACACTTTGCTTCTGAGGCCTCTCAGCTTCTCAGGCGAAAAAATCCTAGCAAAAGGATTTTTTGTAAAATATGTCCGTGACATGTGCAGCAATTTATAGCCTCCTCTACTCTTTCTTTAAAGAGATTCAGTTAAGTTTGTTTTTCCACTGAAAGGTTTAAAGGGCAACCATCTAATACCCAGATTGCTTCAACCCTGTTTCATCTGGTCAATGGAAACCTTATTTTTGCATGGGGTTCTGGTCATTCTTGGGGTTTTCCCTGTCTTGATACATCCCTTCTGTTGGGGAAGATGAAACAGGAAAGCCTTGTAAATATGATTGCCTGGCAAAAGATTTTGAGAATATGGAAACCATAAGTGAGATTGAAATGAAAGCAAGCTTTGAGATACCTTAGTTTCTGGACAACTGGAAAACAATGGTGTGGCCAGCTGAAGGTAATCCTCTTTTGATGAAACAATTCCCTCTGCTTGCAGACAGGTCCAAGGGTCAGAGCAGACCCTACTAGCTTGGCAGAAGGGGTCCAAAGAGTAGTTTTTAGGGTTTAAAATGTACCACAGTATGATAATATAATTATTCTTATAGGCTGTATGTAAATGCTACAGGATTTTTATATTGTACTAGATTGTTTAGTAAGAATTAGAATATTCAACACAGAAGATTTATTGTATTGTAACAGGAACCTCACTCTCTCTCATCCTCCTTACCACACTCTTGCCTTCTTTCTCTTTACTGCTCTCTTTACCTCTCTCTCCCTCTTTTGGGCCTGCTCTGCAGCTGGCAGCTGCAAGCAGGGCCCTGCACTTGGCCCTTTGCAGTAAACCACAAGTTCCAAGACCTGGCTTCAGAGATCTCTTGTTTCCCTCTGTCCTCACCGTCCTGCCCCCTGTCACTCCTACACCTTCTAATTAAAAATTCCATTTAGAACTTCAGAAAATTTGAAGTGCCTGCCTCAGTCCCGCCCCCCCACCCCCTAATAATCCACTTTTGCTGGAATTTTTCCAGTTAGATTTATTTAAGATGTCATGTTGCAATACTATTTATCTATTTTAAAGTCAAAATAGTCTAAAACATTTAGAGCTGATTTGTGTTAACTTGGGTTGGAGGCATTGAAAATAAACTGATGGGGTGTAAACAGCATTCTGAGGCAAAGCTAACATAAAAGAATGTGATAACTCAATAGATGTAGATGAATCATGGGGTGGCTGAAGCATTGAGGAGGTGATATTTATCATTTGATTCTGTCAAGCCCTTTTGTGATAAGGTAAATTCTCATGGTGGCTTAATCCTGTAACTGTCATTCATAGCAGCCTGCAAAAAGAGAATAAAACATCTTGGTAATCTTACTTTTTTCTGAACACATACACTCAACTCTCCTAAGATGAATGTCTACTGAAAAATGAGGGGGCTAATAAATATGCTGAGCTTCATTTTTCTCTACTTTTGAATAGGATTGCTTGTATAACACAGGGTAAATTTAGAGTCATGGAGAATCAAGTTGGTAACACTTTGTGCCACTCAGGAAGCTAAAAACGTGAGAAGTTGGAGGATAACTAATTCCCTTTTGTTCACCTGTGCTGCTCAGTGCTAAGTGACATTTGTAACTTCTGCTTGTCTGCTGCACATCAAGAACTTGCTACTTTTTGCCATGTTGAACTCTCGTGAATTAACAAATGATAAATGTAGAACACAAACTAAGACGCCTCAGTTTGTGCACCTTTATGCCACCACCTGGATTCAGCATGAGCAGAAACCTCAAAACATCTTGCTACTCTATTTGAGTATGGGTAAAAAAGCAGTAAGATCAAATTTCTTTAAAATGTTCTTTAAAGATACCAATTTTCTCCTCATCTTTCCTGCTAACTCCTGCATTTTATCATAACACTCACTTTAGAAAACCCTCAGCCAAGACTGCCTGAGGAATCAGTGTTAAGGAAACCTAACTCCTAATCTCTGCTGCTGCAGAGTGATAGCTACAGATAAATGAGGCTGTTCCCTTGGGATCTGAATGAATAGAAGTATTTTGTTGCTGCTCTTCTCCTGGGATGTAACTATCGATTCTCTTCCCACCACAACTTTTTATTTTCTTCTTTTTCTTTCTTTTTCTTTTTTAAAATTTGGAGTCAGTTCTCCGGCTCTCACTAAAGTTGATGAGTTTTATTCACATTTTCTTTGTGAATATTTTAAGTGGAGAGGAAAGTAAAACGAAGTGGGATCTTTTTGGGATTCTGTGAGATTTCATTTTGGATGTGCATCAATTTTTGTGCTTGTTTCTGGACTAAGGAATCCCTTTTCTTCCACACTTGTGTGTTCTTTCCTCCTCCAGGCATTGAAGACTTCTGCTGAAGGTTTCTCTATTCTGAAAAGAAATTATGTATTTAACTAAGTTTTTCACTATTCTAAATCAGTTGCACTTCTTTTTCCTTCAACATTGTGTAATTTAATCCCCACACTTCTGAAGGATATGCCAGGAGATGGGTCAGGGTTTCCTCTCTAACTTCTTTGTACTCTGTTTTCTTATCTGTAGAAAAAGTGCTTTGGAGTGGGGGTTTTTCCTGTGATTTTTGTTTGTTTTGGGGGGGGGTTGGGGTTTTTTTTGTTTGTTTTTATTTTCATAGTTAGCTAAACTTGCCAAGTTCTTGATGAATGTGTACCAGAAAAAACAAGGCACTACAAGGGGGAAAAAAAAAGTGCATTGTACAAGAAACATGATTTTTGCTGATCACTCAGCCAGAGCAACGTATGCCATAAATTTTGTTTACCAGTCCCAACCAAGCATAGCTGTGAATATCAGGCACATAACAGAAACCCATGTGAGGAATTCCATAGGGTAATTTTAGTTGACAGGTATGTTACAGAGACTGTAATCTTCTTTCAGGCATTGTGGAAATGAAAATGAAAAAAAATAAGTGCACAAATTATTCAAGGTGAATTATTTGCTCAGCTCTGGCTGTCATGTAATAAAGCAGCTTTTATAGCTTGCATTGTAGCCTGTATCTTCCTTACAGTGGAGAAATGAATTTTAACTCTAAATCAGTCTGTGGGACTGCTGTACAGCGTTACATAAACCAAAGGCAAACTGCACTTAATGCGTGAAAGATCCAATTCATAGGACACATTTTTGAGTTCTGAAATCATTTAACCTTGCAGACTGGCATATAAGAGTGTATTGTGCAGCCCTGGAGTGTATTGTGTACACTTGCATAATATCCTTACAAATAATTTCCATTTAATACCCCAGAAACAGGTATATTCTCAGTTCAGGCTTATGTTCTTAGAACAAAGCACTGACTTTGATTGACTTCGATTAATATGAGTCCTGAGTTGGAAGAAATTGCACATAGGCCAGCAGTGAAAAAAGGCACTTTTTTGTGTGTCCCCTAAGATTGCCTTTCCCATTAATTTAAATTGAGACACAAATACAGAAATATGCAAATTCAAAACAAAATCAACCCCAAACTTTTGCCTGTTTTAGTAAAAAATGAAAGAAATTGATGCACTTTGTATGAAGTTTGATTTGTTGGGATGAAATATACGTGTTTTGAATTCTATGCAAAATTTATACCAAAATACAGAAATTACTGGTGTTCACACAACACAATCTTTGGATTTGGTGTGTCAAAGAAACAGAAACAAAATGTAGAAAATGACCTCTCAGCCAGGTGATTGATTTATTTGTGATTTATTCCAACACAAATGAGTCAGAAAAAGAAGACTTAGCAAGAAAAGCCACTCTCTTATTATGTTTTCTATGTTAATGTGTAAGTATGAGAGTGGGATTATGTAGAAGGGAAGTTTAGCTGGTGGGAAGCTGTCTGGATGAGGCACAATAAATTCTGGTTTTGGGAGTTTGCTGTTCTTGCAGTGACGCTGCTGTTGCTGTGTGGGATGAAGTGCTGACGTACACTCAGCACTTTGAGGAAGACTGAGACAAATCACACAGTCCCTGCCCTGAAGAGATCTGAGTGAAGCACAGGTCAGGCAGGGCTTCCATTAAGAGAATGTTTTCAACTTGGCTTTGCTTTTAACTTCCCTGAGCCCTCCCACTTGGCCTGATGCTGCTTTATCCACCTGAGACTGACGGTGTCTCTTTGAACCACTCTTACTTAAAGACTTTGCCATTTATCTTGATGTGGTTAGAAAAAATAAGAAGGTTTGTTTTCTCTGTTAAAAACATTCAAGTGTTTATGTGCACTTCATTTGGCAGCTCTGGTTTCTCTGTCTTGGAGCAGATCTTTCAGGCTAAGATCCTGAAAATCTGAAAACCTGACTTTACTGCAGGTCTTTGAAAAGTTAAAACCTACTCATGCTCAAGAGATTGGCTGTGTTTTAATTTCTCAAATACCTTCTTAAAAATATTCCTCCTGAATTAACTGTGTTCAAGGCACAGACCATAAGGTCTGACTGCAGCTTTCTTTGGAATATGCAAGGGAAAAGGCACTTTGCTGTCCTCCAGTCATTTAGTCTGAACCTTTTCAATCTCTTCTCACCATTGCTTGAACAATGTGCTTGATTCCTGTGCTATGTCTCCAACTGTGTGCTTAGATAATTCAATGAAAATTACAGAAAATGTCATTAGCAGCCAAAATAACATTTTGTATGTATTTTCTAGAAATACATGGAAGGGCTGGGTAGGAGACCTTGTTAGTA